GCGGAGGGGAGCACGTGGAGAACGTGTGAAGGACACATTGTCCTGCCCGACAAGGGAGCGAGTTCTGCTCGCGGAAGGGCAAGTCCTGCCCGCGGAGAGGGCAGTGTCTGGTCGACGGGAGAGTCTTGTGCTCGACACAGATGGGGTAGGTTCTGCCTGCGGATGGACATTACCTGTCCGCCGGGGACCTTGTGCTCGAAGGCTGTGGCCCAAGCTGGACTAGGCTTGGTAGAATATTATTGGGCTGGGCCTGCCTGGCCAAACTGGAGCCCAGGCCAGAACAAAATTTATGATATATTAATTTATTTTTTATTTAAAGACCTTCCATAGCATTATCACCTACATTTAATTAAAATAAAGTATGATTTTCAAAATAAATAACTTTTTTGATGATATTTATGTTGTTTATGGACTTTTTTAAAATCTTAAATAATTTTAGATAAATTTATTAATAAAATTTTTATATCCTTAAAATCATATATTAACAATACTTATATTTAACACATATTCGTGCATCGCACGGATTAACCGACTAATATATATATATATATATATATATATATATATATATATATATATATATATATATATATATATATATATATATATATATATATATATATATATATATATATATATATATATATATATATATATATATATATATATATATATATATAAAGCAATTAATTATATATGAATAAAATTTGTTAGTATAATTATATGTTTAGTATTAAATAAGAAAAAGCATCTATAGAAATTATTTTCTATAGATTACCAGTAATATTAAAAAACAACACATTTTTGTATTTTTAATATATAGTTATACAATTTATTTTGAATAATATTTAGTTATATTAATTTTTAATTATTGAATACAAAAATAATATATAAATATATCTATAACAAATATTTTTTTCAATTAAATATATAATTGTAACCGCCATATATAATATACATCTAGAAATATATTAAACATAGTGTAATTGATCCTAAATACACATAAGAGTCTGTGATCAACAAGCATTTAAACTGCTCACGATGTATTAATACCTCATTCTACAGGACCGTGGATATTCCTAGCCACCGACAAATAATTGACGAAACACCTACAATTTTCGGACACTAAAAAAACAAACGAGAAGTTGACTCCTCACAGCAACACTCATCGGTTGTCATATCCTAAAATTTGTTCTACCTCTTTTTATTTTTCATCTGACCTTTTTGTCTTTGACTCATCTGCATTCTCCTAGGCATCTAGGTCATTCTTACATTTCATTTTCAAATAAACATCATGGATTCAAAGGTTTGTTGTTCATGACACAAGTGTTTGATTTTTGACAAAAGGCTTGGCAAGCTTCATGAGCTAGGGTTCCTTGTATTGTGTTCTTAAGGATCAATACTAGGGTATCTCGGTGCTACATTTCATTGATGAAACCACTTCTCTTGGATTTAAAGCATTGGAACCCTAATTTTGATCTTTGACACTTGTGGATAATGTGGAGTACATCATAGCATTGGATTTGATTGTAAATTACAAGTTTACTTGGGCAATTATGAGAGATTCATTTTGACTGACTATTCTCTTTATGAGCCTATTCAATACACCAGTCAATTATTTGTTTGGTCTAGATGCAAGACAAGACATTACAGTTCATACAAGACTCAAGATTCATGTTCAATTTTAAGGGTCAAGATTTATTCAAAGGTCAACACAAGATCAAGTTCAAATGCTCAATTTTGGAGGGAAAACCATTATTTCTTGAAACATGAGTTGCATTACATCATTAAAAATCCATTTTTCATTTTAAGAACATCCATTTTACATTGCAAATCCATATTACAAAAAACAAACACACAAAACAACACATGTTTCCTAGAGATGACTTTTGGTCAACTGTTGACTTTTTGGTCAAACAGTTGACCAAAATCAACTCACTGTACTATACTACTTAAACGTCTTCATGGGTCTATCTTTATTCATGCCTCAAAGTCTTCAATGATTTGCCTTGAACATGTCACAAAATTCCAACACATATATATAGATATAGCACTCCTCGTATTAGTCATCAATAATTGTTTCATGATATTATATAAAATACATTCAATTTCCTCTTAATTATCACAATAATCACGTCATTGGAAAATAATATTTTTTTTCCATCTTTAGTATAATGGATTCAACCAACTTAATTTTTATCTATATGAAAATTTTTATTTTAGAAAATTTATCGCAGCAATTAAGTATTTCAAATTTCATTTCTTATGTGTTTTTAGAATTGCAATTAGGCAAATCAAATCACTTTTATTTATTAATATACATTTTAATGATTTTCTTTTTTAATTATAGAAAATTTATCACCAATCAATTATTTATAAATATGGAAAGAGAAATATCAGTAACTACTATAACCATTATCACTACATAAAATTTTGCATTATTTTTGTTAAGAATATATTGCATATTTTTACTATAAAATAAAATTATCAATTATTATACATTAATGTTGTAATATATATATATATATATATATATATATATATATATATATATATATATATATATATATATATATATATATATATATATATATATATATATATATATATATATATATATATATATATATATTCAGCTGCATAAATTTATTATATTCTAAGTAATAGAGTTCTCTCAACAAACATAGAAAATGAAAGTATTAAAATCGTCTATCACAAAAATATATTACCTTTTAATTTTATTCATAATAAAAAAAAATATGATTGTGTAGGCCCAAAGGAGAAAACATATATTTTAAATTAACTCTATTTTTCAAAGCAAATCTATAATAATAAATATAAAATTTTTATTTTAGAAAATTTATCACAGCAATTAATCATTTCAAATTTCATTTCATATGTGTTTTTAGAATTGCAATTAAGCAAATCAAATCACTTTTATTTATTAATATACATTTTAATCATTGTCTTTTTTAATTTTAGAAAAATTATCACCAATCAATTAATTAAAATTTCATTACATATTTTTTTTAGAAATTATAATTAAGTGAATTAAACCACTTTTACTAAACCAAATAATAATCTTGAAGACACAAATCTCACTAGTCATTTTTATTTGTCTTACTTTTTTTAAAATAAAAAACTAAATGCTAGTATTAAAATTAAATTATGTTTTTTTAAAGAAAAAATATTAATTTATAAATATCGAAAGAGAAATATCAGTAACTACTATAACCATTATCATAACATAAAATTTTGCATTATTTTTGTTAAGAATATATTACATATTTTTACTATAAAATAAAATTATCAATTATTATACATTAATGTTGTAATATATATATATATATATATATATATATATATATATATATATATATATATATATATATATATATATATATATATATATATATATATATATGTATCTATATATATATATATATATATATATATATATATATATATATATATATATATATATATATATATATATATATATATATATATATATATATATATATATATATATATATATATATATATATATATATATATATATATATATATATATATATATATATATATATATATATATATATTCAGCTGCATAAATTTATTATATTCTAAGTAATATAGTTCTCTCAACAAACATAGAAAATGAAAGTATTAAAATCGTCTATCACAAAAATATATTAGCTTTTAATTTTATTCATAATAAAAAAAAATATAATTGTGTAGGCCCAAAGGAGAAAACATATATTTTAAATTAACTCTATTTTGCAAAGCAAATCTATGATAATAAATATAAAATTTTTAAAATAAAGTTACTCTATTCTACAATAAAACAGATTTAGATTCTACTATTACTAAATGTGCGATTGAGAGAAATTTTAAAATGAAAGATGTGAGGAATAAACAATAACTATTAGACCAATCAAAAAGTTTTGATTAACCTTATTTATTAATGTATCTATTAATTTCTCTCTCTTATTAAAATACATTATATCTTTCTTATTAATAATTTAATGTAATAGTTGTTGTTTGTTTCTCACATCTCTCATTTAAAATCATTCTCATTTAATATATTGATTGTTATTTTTTTAAAACCACAATAAGTATTAATTTTTATTTTTCAATTAATTTTGAAATTAAGCGAATATAATCACTTTTATTTTTTCAATACACATTCTAATTATTATTTTTTTATTTTAGAAAATTTATTACAACAATCAATTATTTCAAATTTCATTACTTAATTTTTAATAGTAATTTTAATTAATTCAATTAAATCACTTTTACTAAACATATTAATAATTTTAGAGACACGTACAAATCTGACCCATCTTTTTTATTTTTCTTCTAATTAATTCTAATATTTTTATATTTATAATAAAAAACAAAATGTTAGTATTGAGTAAAATAAAATAAAATTAATTTTTTAAAATTATTAATTTATAAATATCAATGACAAATATATCTACTACAACCTTTCTCGTAATGTTGTATTTTAAATTATTTTTTATAAGGATATATTGCATATTTTCACTATAAAATAAAATTATTAATTATTATTCATTGACTTTATAAAATATTTCTATATATGTATTCAGCTATGTAAATAAGATCATAAAATCACCTTTATAAATTTAAAACGTATATTCTAAATAATAGAGTTCTCTTAAGCTAGTATACATAGAAGAAGAAATTATTAACAGACAATTATACTAATGGGAAATGAGATTGTTAGATGATCTTTTTATACGACATTTTTGATGATTAACGTTTCTGTTTATGAAGAACAGCTACAGTAAAATTTTCAATTCCTTAACCCTAAACCTAATTTTTGCGATTCTTTTTAAGATTTTCGTCAATTCAAAGCTGTTGTCTTTGATTCAGTGAAGATTAGGGGATTATCTTCGGCTTAAATTCCTAGCTTTCGAGTTTAGGGGCCTTGGTAATTTTTTGGTTTTTATTTGGATCGAGACAGTGGAGTTACCATGAGTTGGGAAAGGGTTTCCGGTAGAAAGGTTAGAAGCGGAAGTTTTTCAGTTTGGAAGAAGAACAAAGGAAAAGGAGCTTCTTCGGGTGAAATCACAACTTCATTTTTTGTCATTGAGTTTTCTGAAAACATGAATGCCAAAGATCTGTTTGAGGTCTTCAAGGTCTATGGAGTCATATCAGAAGTTTTTATTTCTGCTAAGAGAGATAAGCGAGGTAATAGATTCGGTTTCGCCAAATTTCGGAAAGTTCATGATCCAAGAATCCTGGCCTGTAACCTTGATAGCATTGTCTTGGAAGGCAAAAAAATCTACGTCAATATACCCAGGTTTAGTAAAGAGAACAAAAGACATCTTCCTGTTAGTGAGAAGAACAAAAGGCACCTTCCTGATTGTGAAAATTTGAGGAGTAACATCCAAACTGGTTGTACCAGGAACTTCTTGAAACCTAATATCCAGGTTAGGTCCTTTGCCAAAGTGGTAAGAGGAGATTACCCTAAGTTTGTTGATAGGGCCAAGGTAGGAGGTCAATGCACAAAACATAAGCTGGATGATGAATGGTCAAGGAGGTTGAATCGTATGAGAGTGGGTGAAGTCATGAAGGATGGAAATGCTTTCAACATTCAGAAGTTAATTTTTGAAGAAGGTTACTTTAACATTAAGGCTACTCCATTGGGAGCTTCATTGTGTTTGTTGGAAGACACATCAGGAGGAGACTTAGAAGGTTTTATCAAGGAAGCTAGAGTATGGCTAGATATCTAGTTCAGAGACATCCGCAAGTGGCAAATGGAGGAAATTGACAGGGATAGGATGGTGTGGGTATATTGCTATGGTCTACCTTGTGTCGCCTGGAGTGAGAAAAATTTCAGGCAGATTTCTTCCAGTCTGGGATCGTTTGTCAAATGTGATGAGAAGACGAGGAACAAAGAGAAATTGGACATAGCGAGATTTCTTATTAAAACAAGACTCAAGATTATTCTGAATTTCTTGGTTGACATTGGAGTGAACAATCACACCTTTTTAATTTCAATCACAGAAGACCTTTCGTGTGGGAGTGGAGACCCTTTGTTTGGTGAAGAAGATGAGGTGATAAATTCAGATGAATTTGACTCCTCAAACCCTTCAGACTCAGAGGGCGCGTGGGAGATACCTGAAGAGGAAGAAAGTGAAGATCTCAAATCCTTGTTCTCAGAGACAGAAGCCAGAGCTCCCAATACTGATGTCCAAAAGGCAGATGGTGACTTCTCAGTGTCAGACATTGTATCAGTTGTTGGGGATAGCTTAGGGTCTAGTGTGGAAGGTAATGGGTTAAGAAGGAAAAATCATAAGGTTTCCTCAGCCGCTCTGTTTAGTTCAAAAGGAACTGAACCATATAACTTTCTGGCTGACCTAGAACTTAATCAGTCCAAAGCAGTTATCGAGGTACCCAGTCTTGATGGGGAATTGGTGGTAGACCTAGGCCTGCCTTATCCAATTAGTGGGCCTTCAGGAGGAGTTATTGGGCCTGCTGTTAGAGGTAAAGCTAAAAAGAAAAAACCTCTTCATGAGGTTTATAATTGCATTAAAATACCATACACCCCCTCTTATTTTTCCACTCTTCTTCTCATGGATCCCAAGGAGAACCGTAGACATGTGTCGAAAGGGAAAACTAGGGAGGGTAGTATGAAGAAAAAGTTGTCTAAAAAACTTCTGAATCTAGTTCAGCTCTATTGTGTTGCGAATCGATCACTGACACTGACGTTGAGAGGGGTAACTCGAGATGCAGAAGGGCCATTGCTGATGTTCCATCTAAATTGGGTGATTTTCTTAAAGTTCTGGGTATTCAGGGCAAAGATGAAGAAGTTATTGGGCGAACTCTGAGGATTTTGGATAACACTGATAAGGATGCTAGTTTAGGCAAGAAGGATGTAGCTACAATTGATCCATGAATTTAATATCTTTCAATGTTAGAGGCTGTTGTAGTTCCATCAAGAGAAGGAGATTAACTCAAATTATTCAGAGAGGAAATGCCGATATTTTCCTTATTCAGGAAACCAAGGTTATCAAGATGGAGGATGGTATAGTTTTCAGCATGTGGAGGAGTTTTGATTTGGATTGGTCAGCTCAGAACTCCATTGGGAACTCTGGTGGAATTCTAACCATGTGGAATACTATCAGAATCTCTGCTTGTTTTAGTTTTAATGGGAAAGGATTCTTAGGTCTAAACTTTGTTTGGAATAACCATAGGGTTTTGGTTGATATCTTTGTTTACTCTAAAGAATCAAGTGGTGGGGGATAGAGACATATCGGATCATCGACCGGTGTGGTTGAAGTCCAATTTCATCAATTGGGGACCAAAACCTTTTAGGACTTTCAACTGTTGGTTCTACCACAACGATTTCATCCCATTCGTTATGAAATTGTGGCGCTTTTACCAATTTACAGGTTCTTTCTGCAACATCCTTTTAAGAAATTTCAATCTCTTAAATCAGACCTTAGGATATGGAATCTCAAAGTGTTTGGTTGGCTGGATTTGAACATAGAGGATAATATCTCTAAGTTCAACAAGCTGGAACTGGAATCAGATGAGGAGTCTAATCTGCAATCTACTGATCTGGATAGAGTGAAACTGCGATACCAGGAGGAAATATGGAAGAATATGCGGATCAAAGAAAGCATGATAGCCCAAAAATCCCGGGTTAGTTGGCTCCAAAATGGGGATCTTAATACCAAATTTTTTCATGACTCCCCTTAAATCCATGAATAGGTTGAATCATCTCTTAGCTGTTAGAGTGGGAGGCAGGACTGTTGAAGAACCTGAGAATATTAAGGATGAAGCGATGAATTTCTTTAAGGACAAATACACGCAATCAAACTCGACAAAATTCAGAAGTGATTTGGTTTTGGATGCCTGTCTTGATGAGGAAGACAAATTGTTTTTGGAAACAGATTTTAGCACCTCTGATGTTAGAAAGGTTGTTTTCAGTTGTGAGGGTAACAAATGCCCCGGTGTCGATGGATTTAATTTTAAATTCATAAAATTATGTTGGGAAATAGTAGGTTAGGACTTCTCAAAATGCATTTTGGATTTCTTCAAGACATGAGTTCTCCCTAAGATGTTTGCGTCCTCTTTCATTTCGTTGGTTCCGAAGATCTCCAATCTGCAACAATTTGAAGATTTCAGGCCAATTTCTCTTATTAGTTGTATCTCCAAGCTTTCATCCCAGGTCGGTAAATTTACGATGGGGTTCTGCTGGCCAATAAAATAGCAGATTATGCTAAGAGATTTAAAAAGGAATGTCTGTTTTTCAAAGTCGACTTCGCTAAAGCCTACGACTGTGTCGACTAGATTTACCTAGATGAAATGCTTGTCAAGATGGATTTTGGTCCTAATTGGTTAAAGTGGATTAAAGGATCAGTGTTCAAGAGTTACGTTTCGATTCTTATTAATGGAAGTTCTTCGAAGGATTTCAAGGTTGGAAGGGGTCTGAAGCAGGGGGGTCCTTTGGCTCCGTTTCTGTTTGCCATAGTTGCAGAGGGCTTATCTTGTTTAGTCAGAGCCGCAACTCCCAGTAACTTGTTAACAGAATTCAACATCAATGATCAAAGTTCTAAGAGCATGCTTCAGTTTGCGGATGACACTCTTCTTATAGGAGATGGTTCGGTTATGAATATATGGGCTTTCAAGACTGTCCTGCGCGCGTTCGAATTGATTTCTGGTTTGAAAATTAATTTTTCTAAAAGCTATATTTACGGGATAGGAGTAGACCCTGCTTTCCTGGTTGGAGCTGAAGAATTTCTGCACTGTAAATCTGACAGGCTGCCGTTCAGTTTTTTCGGTCTCCAGGTAGGAGGAAATCATCGTCAACATTCTTTCTGGAATCCGGTTCTATCTCGTATGAGGAGTAAACTATCAAATTGGGCTGGGAGAAATTTGTCAATGGGAGGTAGAGTATCCCTCATAAACTCGGTTTTAGCTAACTTGCCTATTAACTACTTGGCTTTCTTCAAGGCTCTCAAGAAAATCATGAACGATATTATCGCAATCCAAAGGCGCTTCCTCTAGGCTGGGAACTCTAGTAAAAAGTTCATTTCTTGGATATCATGGAACTCCATCTGTAAGCCGAAGGAATACGGAGGCCTGGGCATTAAGCACATAGGTCGTTTTAATTATGCTCTTATAGCAAAATGGATGTGGAGATCTCTAAGCGGTGGAAATGAAATTTGGAGAAAAATGTTGAATCTCAGATACAGTAACTTGAGCATGAAGGTGCAAACTTTCGCTGACGTAGGTAACTTGAAATTAGACTCTCTTTGGATGAAGGATATTATGTCAAGTTCAACCTGCAACTTCAATATGGACTTCTGCAAGTTTATGGCTTGCACTATTGGAGAAGGTCACAATACGACGTTTTGGCAATCAAATTGGATTAGAGATCTTCCGCTTAAAAGTAGGTTTCAGCGGTTGTTTCAGGCCTGTTCCAGGAAAGTTTCGACAGTCAACGAGATGGGTTTTTAGGAGGATGGTCAGTGGGTTTGGAAAGTTAGAGAATCGTTGATAGATGAGGGATCCAATTCTGAACCAGATTGGACAGATTGTAGTGTTTTGTTGGATCAGGTGGCAGCCAACATCAATGTCGTCGATAATTGGAAATGGCTTCTTCATGATTCTCTTTCGTATAAGGTTAGATCTTTCTATACTGCTTTATCCTCTTCCTCTTCTGCTTCTGTTCATATTATTGGAAATGATAGTGCTGCTCTTCTGGAGATCCTTTGGAAAACGGTGTTACCGGCAAAAGTCCAAACTTTTATTTGGAGGCTGGCGCTTGATAGGCTACCTACCAGATCCAATTTGATGAAAAGAAGGGTGATTGACTATTCCCAAATCTCGAATTGTGCATTCTGTTTGTCAAGCTACAAGGACGTTTCACATCTTTTCTTCTCGTGATCTAAATCTTCGTTGGTGTGGAATAGGATTTGCGAGTGGGTGGATATAGAGAACACTTCGGAGGATTGTTGTAGTCTTCATGCGAAGGTCTGGAAATTGAGATTTCTGGGCCGCTGCAAAGAGAACAAGATCAACTCTATTTGGTTCATTTCTTGCTGGAGTTTATGTAGGGCTAGAAATAACATTATTTTCAATAATGCTTCTATTGACGTTTAGGACATTGTATGCGATATTAAAGTTATCTCGTGGAATTGGTTGATATTAGGTAGACAGGATAGTAATCATTGTAGTTTGTACGATTGGTTTAAATTAGCGTTCGAGTTTATGTAACAGTCTTGTATTAGGCTTTATTTGTACTCTTGTTGTTCAGAGATTTTCTTAATCTCTTTAATATATTATTGCTTATAAAAAAACAGACAATTATACTATGGTTATGTTTATTTCAACTTTAAAAAAATGGATTTATTTTTGTAATGTTAAAAATAGATTTTAAATATCATTTTTTAAAATATTACAATTTTTTATATTTATTTAAAATAAAATAAAATACTAATTTTCACATCCTATAACATATACATACATAATTGAAGATTAAAAGCTAGTCGAAATTACGACTTTTCAAAATGTTATCTCAAAAATGATTTTTATAAAAATTTATTTGAAATAACTTCAAAATTAAGTGATTTTTAAAATTTTGATATTAAATTTTTTTTAATATAAAATAATAAAATATCTAAAATAACATTTCAAGAATAACTATTCAAATTAAATTTTCATTTGAAACTTTTATTAGAAGTTTCTTTGTAAATTTTTTTCACACAAAATTATGTTAGAC